AAATTAAAGTACATTATTTAATTCACCTTTTTTCAAAGAGAATACACATGGATTAATGGAGGACAAAAATGTCATAAAAAATTAATAAAATTTAAATAATATAATTAGATACAAATAAGTATCAAATGAAAGACTTAATTACTCAACATTTTTTTGTGTATACTTTTTTATAATTAAGTCTAATTTAGTGTACCCCTTCTAATTTTTTCAAATTTTTTTTTGGGTTTGGACTTAAAGCCCAATAAGTTAGAGCATCTCCAATTGTGACTCAAATTTAGACTCAATTTTAAGTCTAAATTTGAGTAAAAAACTTGATTTGATATAGAGTACATCAATAGGTAAACTAAAATATCTACTCAAATCTTTTAAAAATTTTCTTTATTGTCCAAAAACTTTTTTTTTGTCATTCAAATTATAATATTTGATAAAATAAATGAAACTTTCATCTCTCCACAAATGAGTAATTCAAAAAAAAAAAAATGAATATGTATACAACACAACATGGAAATAAAGAAACCACTCCAGAATTTTGAGATTGTTCTAATCTCTTATTACTTTTTATAAATCCAAATAAAAAAGAAGAAGAAAAAATATAGCTATTTTGACATGGGCTTTGATTAACCATCAAAATTGCTATTTTATTATATTTAATGATTGATTAATTACATATTATTTGTGATTAAATGTGTGAAATTCCTTGATTTTTTATTTTGATACTTTTTCTAGTTGTTTGGTTTATTTTGCAGGTAAATTGATTGATTTAAAGTAATAACGGATAAGACAAGTAAATCAATCATTAGAGGAAGAATCACAACTAATAAGGATTGAAGAGTCAATATTGAGATAGGAAGACTTAAAAATATGACAAAAATTTAATCCTTATAAGAGTCCAAGATGGAAGAAAACTCATTTAAAGTTAGACTAGAAAAATATTCTAGAAGAATAAGGATTTGACATGTCTTCAGTATTCTGGTCATAACTTTTGACTTTAATATCCGATTTACTTGATTTTTGGGGGCTGGAAAGAAGACTCCAAGGGCTACAAAAATGTATTTCAAGAAAATTTCGTGAATCATCATCTAAATATGCGAAATCCAAGCTCGAGGCTTAGACAGATTTTGTACCCGCGCCCTAAAAATTTTATGCATGAGATTTAACTTTACAAAACTTCTCTTTGGAAAGGAATTCCTTCCAAAACAACCTTATATCTTCTACTTATACTTAGGATTCATTTTTAGTATAAATAAGAGTTCTCATCTAGGATTTAGAGGATGATTCTTTTCCTTTCTAGTTTTAGTTTGTCATGTCTGGCTAAAAGGCTAAGCTAGAGCTAGGGGAGAACATCTCAATGAAGTACGGTAATGTTATTGATTCTGAGTTTAATGATTTATGATATTTTGTTAATTTAACTTCTGATCTTATAGCAAAGTTTTTATTTTGTAAAAATCTTTGAGTTGTTGTGTCATATACATCGATTGCTTGAATTTTTCTGCGAGTAAATAACTGGTTATTCCATGCTTGAGGTAATTATCATTATTTCATAAAATAATATAATTGGATGATTATTCAGGTTCCTAAATAATCTTTTGATTATAACTTTAGGTTTTCTTTCTTGATTTGTCACATGAATCAACTGACATCTGATTCTTGTCTCAAGTTAAGATTTGAGTCTTTAATTATTATTGTATGGAACTGAGAGGGAGTACCTGATGCTCTAGTATTTTTATTTTATTTTTTTAATTACTCTAATCAATATTTTCTCAACTCAACAATCTCTTAAATAAATTGTTCATACAAGTTTGCTTTTTATTTGTTTTGTGTCTCTTGTTTTTTCAATTCCTTGTGGTTCGACCTCAGACTCCCGAGAAATTTATTACTTTGCATAACCTGCACTTGGGTGATCAATTCTAAAATTGTAGCAGACTTGGTCTGAAGAACATAAAAACATACGTTTTTAACAAAAATAGAAGATTAAAGAAATAAAATGATGAATTTTTTAAATTTCTAGGTAATAAAGACTTAAAATTTCAGGAAGAATCGATGCCCCAAAATTGTACTACTGATTGTGTTTAACTCAAAAAAATCAAAAAAAAATTTGATGGTAGCCTTAGAGTTTATATAATTTGAAAGATGGGTAAGATTAAAGTTTTGAAAAATACAAGAAATCAAGAAGATGAAAGATAAAAAAGAAAAAACTTACCTACATACCTTAAAATGATTTGTGAAAGTTTCGGTGGTGGTTGACAATGGAAACAGTGTAATAGAGAAAGACAAGAAGAGATAGAGAACATGTCGTCGAAGAAGTCTTTTAGTTTTTGATAAATTAAAAAAAAATACCATTAGAAATTTAGTATAAAATTTGAATCTGCTTCAATATGGGTCCAGAATAAGTTTTGCCTTAATTTGATATAGGTTGGAAAAGTTTGTTAGACAATTTTGACTTATATTTAAATTTGAATCTACATTTGAGTTAAAATTAGAGATACTCTTATGGAAGGTTTAACGACTTCCCATCAAATTTTTTCTTATAGAGAAATTTGTTGTTAATTTTTTATTTTGATACAGATCGAGGCCCAATAGCTGGAGAGAGAGATTGTCGAAAGTAGCCAAAACCATGGGAACCACATAAATGCGCCTTGGTACTCTTAATGATATTTTACACTCTAAATTTTTTTTAAAGTTTAATTATATTAAAAAAGATTAAAATTTTCATATTACACATGTGTCTATGCCAAGTATACTCAAAGGGACGAGAAGGATAAGTGGAAGTGATAGAAAAACTCGAGCTACCTATTAATGGAGGGACCAACCAATGGGTATAGAGTAGGTAGAGAGAGTAAATGCTCTCACCAACCAGGATGCCCATTTCACACCAAATTCTAGTGTCCAACAATTGACAAGTAATACAGGCATTTATAAAACATTACTCCGGCACGTCGAGCTGCTCCATGAGTTGACTATTGTTTCCATAATATGAGGGTCAACATTGTATTGATACTTGCATTGACCTACAATTGCCTTGACTATGATGATATTTGTAGCCATTCATTGTGAGTCACGTGTATTAACATTAATTAGACAGATGTGACTTTTTGTCAAACGCAATTTGACTACGGTTCTCAAGGAGGTGTACGATAACTGAGGTCAAATGGTGATTCCCAATGCCAATGATTATAACTGGTTAGTGCGGGACCACAACCGTGGGAGGGCCATGTTCGCGGTGCCCCCAACGCACTCCTACCCGTGGGTCCTCCTCTTTCTCTCTGAACCCGTCTCCCAACCCTTTGTTGAGGTGCCTAATAGATGATTCGAACCAATGATCTCAGTCACATTCAGAGTCTCTTCAGATCACAATCAAACACATCCAAGTGATTAGTAAGTCATAAACTAGGAGACATGTTTAAACAAACTAAACCTTTAATACCCTACTCGAGGTAGAGGTTGACAATCATGCTCGTCCACCCTTATTGCTCAATTCTCCCTTAAGGAGGACAATACTGCCTTATTCCTAGATGGGGACCCCTCATCTCAGTCTGTTAGGCCAGTAAGCAATGGTGTTCCATAGGTTGATTTTACCACGATGGGGGTTCTAGGTTCTCTCTAGGGGTTGCAATCTGAGGTTACCCATCGAGGATTGGTTGAGGATACAAATTCCATTAGATGTGAAATCCTAGTTTTGTGCCTTATGTTTGCAATGGGGAGGCAAGCCACACCAAGATTGCCCCCAGGTTTTTGCTATGCCACTATTGTTCGTTCTAGGTCAACGGTCCATTTTGCCACTTCCAATGTGATGATGATGTGTTCTTTCATTTTTGTGGTGCTTTAATGCTTTCTACGGTATGCGTTGCTTGTTATGGCACAAAGTGCATGTCACAACATTGAAATGTTGTCGCGACACTGTTGTTCGTACTCATCCTACTGGACACTGTTGGACCCTACTACCATGTCAACTAATGATTTCTAACACTTGTCTTTCTATAATGTGGACATGTGTCTTGAATATACTGGGTACTGCACACTCTCAATCAAATAAAAAGATAATAATTTAGTCCAAAAGTAAATATTCATTATCTGTTCGGATAAATTGTGTTTTATTTGCAATACTATCCTATTTTTATACACAATTGGTTGCATAATACTCAATTATAAGTATTTCAAATAAAGGTCGATACTCAGTTTTTTTTAATAATGGAGCACATTGTAATTTTTTCATTTAATTGAGGGTGCAACATGAAATTATAATATTTCAGGATATAAATTAAGGATGTACAACATTTTTGGGATATAAAGTGCCATTTATCTTTTTTTTTTCTTTGATGACAGACAGACACAGCATCAATTTCTACTGTCTAGAAACGAATTCCCACTTTCTTTTGCCTTTGTTTTCTTTACACCCTGCTTCCTTTTCAAAAAGTGAAACTAAAGTGATTGGACATTTGGACCAAAAGAATAAATCCCCCCTTTAAAATATCATTTTTAATTGCTATAGCAGTTTTCATAGATCCAAGGTAAGGAACAAAAAGTGGTGGGTTGGATATCAAAATCACTATCATACTTGTGGGTATATCAATTTTTCTATCCCAAGAGATAACTTGTGAAAACTTATAAGTGTATACTTAAATTTTTTAAGTTAATGATAGTTCAAAATGATATTAAGATATAATGTCTTACGCTCAAATCTCACAAACACATTAATTACTAAAAAAATTTTATGTGTTAGACATAAAATCTAACCTACGTAAAAAAACGTATTGAAGTATAAATATTTAAGTAACATATTTTTTAATTACTTAAACTTTTAAAGTAGATGGTTATTTAATATCAAGTAAATAGAGACTATCTAAAATTTTTTAAGTTCAAGTTAAAAGTCCGTGAATCAAGTTATGACGAGAAAATTTAAGATCTATTTTAAAATATTATGAAGAATTTTAAACAATCTCATATTATTATTATAGCTTTACCAGATGAAGTTACTAAAATTCATTTTCCTTTGTCTTACTCTTGCCCCATTTGTGTAGGTTCATTTTTTTTTTAAGACAGTTTCTTCTTGAGCCTATCCCTTCTGATACATCTCTCATCTAACAAAGCCAGTCCTGAAAATCTCCACAGAACTCCTTCCTCAAGATGGCACTAAGCAACAATGTCATCGGAGCCATCAACTTTGTAGTTATGCTCCTATCCATTCCGATAATCGGCACCGGAATATGGCTGGCAACAGAACCAGACAATTCCTGTGTGAAGATCCTCCAATGGCCTGTCATCATTCTGGGAATCTTGATCTTGGTTGTGGCTATAGCCGGATTCATCGGAGGGTTCTGGAGAGTCCCATGGCTACTCATCTTCTACCTCATTGCCATGCTTGTTCTTATAATATTGCTTGCTTGTTTGGTTGTCTGTATCTACATGGTTACTGTTAGGGGCCATGGCCATATTGAACCTAGCAGGGCTTACTTGGAGTATCATCTTGATGACTTCTCCGGTTGGCTTCGCCGGAGAGTTAGAAGTTCTTATAAGTGGGATAGGATAAGGAACTGTCTTAGCTCCACCAGCATGTGTGCAGAGTTGAACCAGAGTTATAGGATGGCTCAGGATTTCTTTGATGCTCACATTAGCCCCTTACAGGTAAATACCATTACTCTTCTTTCATCTTTTTTAATTCTTGCCCGATATTTTTCACCCGATCCGAAAATAGTTGGGATAAATAGTTTTGCTGAGCTTATTCGAATAATTTTTTCACTTGACATGAACATCACTATGTGTTTCAACAAAAGAAATGGTGAAGATAATGTAATGGAGCTCTGTTTTCCCTTAACACAATCAAATCCACAACAACTAAAAACGCGCACAACCCAAGAGCGGGTTTGGCTCCCCTCCCTTCGATTTCAAAAGATTTTTCGATTCAATTTTGAATGATTAAAATTTGTATTCACTCATCGGTATATTTTAAAATTTCAAAATTTTAAAATATTTTTTAATTAATTAAATCTACTTATGTGTATAGATCTTGGCCATTAAAAAAGAATGGCAAAATCATCCGATTCTTAAAAAATTGGAGGGGAGCCGAACCCCCTAAGAGCCTTAGGTACAAGTAAGTTATATCTTCTTTGTGCCAAAGATCTTCAACCATATGGAAAGAAGAAACTCAGAAACCCTAATGCGAAGCTTATTCAAAAGTCATCTTTTTTCTGGAAGTTTCCTTCCAAAAGCCAATTTTTCTCTTCAATTATTCTTAGAGTGTGATGTCAATGTCAAACTAGAAGTCCTAGGCAAAGAAAACCATCAACGAAGTAACACACTGAAGATTCTTCTACCATATGTTTATCAGCTTTATTTTCTAAATATTCTCATCTATTTCTTTGTTAATGTTCACAGTCAGGATGCTGTAAGCCACCAACAGAATGTGGGTACACCTTTGTGAACCCAACATACTGGATTAGCCCAATAAACATGGCGGCGGACATGGATTGCCTACAGTGGAGCAACGAGCAGACGCAGCTGTGCTACGCCTGCGATTCGTGCAAAGCTGGATTGCTAGCAAATCTGAAGAAAGAATGGAGAAGAGCAGACATCATATTGCTCATAACCCTAGTTGCCATGATATGTGTTTATCTGATAGGGTGTTGTGCATTTAGGAATGCCAAAACTGAGGACTTGTTTAGGAAATACCGGCAAGGCTATGTGTAAGTGATGATACTGTACGTGGCTGTAATAGGGGCAGTGCGTGGGGGATTGAAGAAGAAGATGGGTGTCAATTCATTTTCTTTGTTTTGTGACTTTGTATGATTATTTAAAGTTGGCGCTGTTCATGTCCTCTTTTTTCTCAAAAAGGTATTGGAACTATGGGTTGATGATTTGGTTGGGTTACGAAACTAAAGAGTAATTGAAAAAATAACGTTAATTGGATCTAAAAATTTGATTTAATTTGTTAACATAATGATGTGATTTTAATAGAATTATTGAATCAACACCAAGTTTCAATACTTGATGAGTTCTACATTCAATTCAAATGTCATAGTGAATTAGGTCAATAAATTAAATCAATAAATTAGGTCTCAAAAAATTGCCAAAAAAAAAAAAAGAAGAAGGGTGAAATGCTTAACGTGATTTGCGGAGGGCGCCGAAAGTTGGATGGTAATCAAAGATTGAGAATCCCAATGACATTATTTCGGTATAAGAAAATTTTCAACCGCACGCCCTTCAATTTACAAAATTTGTAAGGACACCCCCAAAATGTTAATTAGAATATAATTTTATTAAATTGTTCATATTATATTTGAGGACAAATTTCATTAACATCTCTAGATAAGCATATCTTCGATGAGATCTTTCTATTTTCTAAAATTTTTTATATATTAAAATTCGAGTTGATTAAAATTTGATTCGAGTTAATTAAAATTTAATTTTGACGTATTAAAATTCGAGTTTATTAAAAATTATATTTTTTTATATATTAAAATTTGAGTCAATTAAAAATTATTTTTAATCAATTTAAATCAAATTTTAATTAACTCACATTGAATTTTAATCGACTCAAATTTTAATAAGTATAAAAATATAAATTTTAATTGACTCAAATTTTAATGAATCAAATTTTAATTGACATGAATTTTAATAAGTAAAAAAATATAAATTTTAATCAATTCGAATCGAATTTTAATTGGCGCTAACAACTCGAGTAAAACTCAAATCGGCTTGAATTTTAATACGTAAAAAATAAATTTTTATAGGTTCAAATTTTAATACATAAAAAAATAAAATTTAATCAGTTCAAATCGAATTTTAATTGACTCAAATTTTAATATGTACAAAAATAAATTTGAATCAACTCAAATTTTATTATATTAAAAAAAAATTTTAATCGCCTCGAATTTTAATCAAATTTTATATATAAAGATTATTTAGAGTTTATATCAAATTTTATATATAAAGATTATTTAGAGTTTATATATGGGTATATTAGATAATTTTTTTTGTTAAAAATAGTGATTTAATGACAGGAGTGTCATTGGTACGTGTTTGGGTTAAGGAGGGTTAAGAGCCGTGAGGATAGCGTAACAATGATGTGGGTCTCGTATATCCATTGTTTGGCAGCTGAAAAATGAGGGAGGTTACGAATCCCGGGTCAAAATGAGGGATGCTACAGTAAAAACTATCCAATAAACATGGGTTAACTGCTACCCACCCACCCCCTAGTTTATAATCCCACCCAGGTTAACCAGGTAAAAAGACGGGGTTACCCTCCCTCTTTCTCAGATATTTTGCTACACCCTACCGAAGGATTAATCTTTGTCCAAGCAAGTCACAGGCGATCGTCGATTGCAATCGAGGTGAGCTTCTTCTTCTCGGCTCTCTACATATCTACCTCTCTTCACTCTCATGGACTCTCTCTCAGTACGAGCAAAGAATTGGTCCAAAACCACCTCCATTCCTGCATTTCAGGTTCACCCACAAACTCTAATTCCGAGTCCAATGACAATCCTAAAGCTGCCGATTTCTGGGTTCGCCGCGAACAGAATTACGATCATTTAAATTTACACTGCTCCAATGCCAGCATCAACAACAACAACAATAGCAACAATAATCATAGAGAATTGAAAGTTTTTGTTCGTTCTTTGTCTCTTGTTCAGTCAAATGGTCCTATTGAAATTCCTCATTTGGGTGGTGTTTCTACCCTTGTCCAAAGATGGAGAGGTTTTGAGGCTGAGGCAAAGAGCTTGAATTCAAACAACTCACCTATTTGCAACAGCAAAAGCTATTCTGGGTCGACTTTTACAGAAAATAATGCTTCATCATCATTTGTTGAAGTGCCACAAAGAAACTCTGATGCCTGTGAGTTTGTTGATGGAAGGTATGAAACTCCAACATTGAATGAGGACTCATTTGCTGATTGGGAATCTGATAGGGCAGCTATGAGCGGTCCACCTTCTTGAACATGAATCAGATAAACCAACTCAGGGATCTTCCATCATGCATCTCAGGTAAAAATTCCTTTCCTATTTTCCTACACATCATATTACTATTTACTATACATGGATTGTTTGCAACTGTATTGTTTGAGAAGGTTTCTGATTATTGAGACTACTCATAATGTCAATTTTTTTTGGTGAGTGTGGCGTGTCGTACGTGGAACTCAAATAAGAATGTCGTATGTTGCTTAATTTTCAAAGCGATACAATAAGGAGATACTCATTGGGGTCACTCAAGCACAACATGCACCATATATAATGTGATGGAATCAATTGAATGCAAATAAAGTGAATGGTAGGGTGAGACGCGGATTAGGTCGTTCTCTTAAGACGATTTGCGCCATTTTATGAAAGGATCACATCGTAGAAGGTAGTTGCGCGTCGTCTTCAGGATACAACAACCCAGCCTATTGACTGTTGCTTCACTCAGATCTGCACAATTGAATGAAACAGAAGCTTCACACACACTTTTGAATATTGCCCAAAAACTTATACAGTAAGAAGATAGTTGATATCAGATAGTCTATCTATACTGAAAATATGTATATATATAATATATATGTTTAATAGTCTATAATTACTTCTATACTTAATTGAATAATAACTCAAAATATGACTGTTGGAATACTAGCCGTTTGAGGTTTTTGGTATTCAACAACTGAAATTTTATTATAGAAGTAATGACAGAAAATAATTAAACAAAATATTAAAAAGTAGGTTTAATACTAGTTAATATTTTATTTTATTTAGGCGAGTCAGGGGGACCCACTACTCAGGTCGTGGACTAGGCACACCAGTGTGGTTCGTAGATTTTAAAAATCCGTATCTCCTCCCACCCCTGTGCACGTGAGAGTTCCAAGACTTCTCTTTGATTCAAATGTTAAATAACATTAGTATATATATATACTCAAGTATCTTGGGATGTTTAGTCGACGTGGAATTGAGTTCCCACATAAAAAATACTCTTTTAGTTAAAATATTCTAACAATCCTCCACTTATTTTAATAAAAGATACATTATATAAGTAACTGGACAATAAATAGAATATCATGCATTACAAAAGTGGCAATGCCTTTAAACCTTTACTTAGTACTTCAATGTTCCCGTACTAGAGTCAAAGTGGACTTAGCCTTTAAACAATGACTGCTTGAGGGTACATAGAACCATATCACACACATAATATTCAAGGTGTCCAAAACCAAGCTTCAAAAACCAACACATTTTCGGCCTTGTGCTTTATCCCAGTTTCTTGAGTGCTCTAGAGAATTAGCCCAAATTCTCATAGGAAACGACCCGTCTTCCACACTCATATAGGTGAGTCTATCAAGGATGCTCTCGTAACTGAGACATCCCACCCAAAAAAGGGCTATAGAACTCATTAAGAGGTATTGATCTCATCCTCCAAATTTTCGTTACAAGATCACATGTATTTTACACCATAGGGATGGATAATGAATTCAAAATTCCAACAATGATATAAATTTCATTGGTACATGTTTCACAAATCAAGTCACTCTATGGTTCGTTTGTCCCATTAACCTAGTTCTTAGGATCTCTAGTCCCTAGGTTGGGTATCCTCATATGTAACTTAATCAGATTTGGGCTTGAGTCCAATCCCCCTCAATGTACTCCAGATCTTTTCTCTAGCTAGAGCTTTTGTTAACGGATAGGCAAGATTGTCAGTTAATCTCACATAATTAACATTGATCGCACTATTATTTTGGTATGATCTCACATTATTGTGCTTTCTTCTCACAGATCTGAATTTTCCATTATAGTACTTATTACGTACTCTACCTATTGCGACATTGCTGTCACAATGAATTGACACTGGTGGCACTAGTTTAGCCCACAAAGGTATATCAAATAACAAATACAAAGCCACCCAGCTTCCTCACTGGCTGAAGCTAGCGCAATCAATTCAGCTTCCATTGTTGACTTTGCAATAATTTGCTGCTTCTTTGATTTTCAACTTATGGCTCCACCACCTAAAGTAAAAACATAACCTATAGTGGACATAGAATCACCCGATAGGGTGTTCCAATCTGCATCACAGTAACCTTCAAATACAGCAGGATAATTCTTATAAAATAAACCAACATGTATAGTTCTTTTTAGATATCTCATAAGACGACAAATTGCATTCCAATGATCCATACTAGGTCTACTAATAAATCTACCAAGTACACCCACCGCATAGGCAATATCAGGTCTAGTACAATCAGTGGCATATCTAAGACTACCAATTATGCTTGCATACTCTATTTGATTAATTACATCACTTTCTTTTTCTGTTGGAAATAAATAAATACTTGAATCAAAAGGTGTGCAAGCAGATTTACAATCAAAAAAGTTATATTTTTTCAAAAAATTTTCTATGTAATGAGATTGATCAAGCATAATTCCATCAACACTCTTTGTGATTTTCATGCCAAGAATCACATTTGCTTGACCCAAGTCTTTCATGTCAAAATTTCTATTTAGTAAAGCCTTGGTAGTCTTAATCACATATAAGGTAGTGCCAAATATCAAAAGATCATCAACATATAGACAATTAATAATATGTTCACCATTTTCAGACTTTAAGTAAATACATTTGTGACTCTCATTAGCCTTAAACCCATTAGCTAAAATGCACTGTTCAAATTTTTCATGCCATTGCTTGGGTGCCTGTTTAAGGCCATATAAAGATTTAGTTAATTTACAAACTTTATTTGCATAACCTTGTTGAATAAACCCCTTTTGGTTGGTCCATATAAATTTCTTCCTCTAGATCACCATTAAAAAAAGTTGTTTTTACATCCATTTGATGTATTTTCTAAATTATGTATAGCAGCTATAGATATAAGCAATCTTATGGATGTAATTCTAGAGTCAGGAGAAAACGTATCAAAGAAATCTAAATCTTCTTTTTGTTTAAAACCTTTAGCTACCAATCTCGCCTTATACTTATCTATCGTTCCATCAGATTTGAGCTTTCTCTTTAACACCCATTTGCACCTTATAGTTTTACAACCAGCAGGTAAATCTACCAATTTTCATGTTTTGTTTGTTATGAGTGAATCATATTCATCGTTTACGGCTTCTCTCCATAAGTCTAAATCAGGAGATATTAAGGCTTCTTATAAGTTGGTTGGATCCCCTTCAACATTATAAACAATGTAATCTAAACCAAAATCTTTTTCTACTCTACTCCTCTTACTCCTCCTAGGTTCATGTTCTTTTTGTTCTACATTTTCGGTCAATGATGAACTAGGAATATCACTAGACTTTGGCATATTATTATTACCCCCACTATTTTTATATTTAAAAGGGAATTTATCTTCATGAAATATAGCATCTAGTGATTCAATTACCACATTATTCTCTAGGTCTAAATATCTATATGCTTTACTAGCTAGTGCATCCAATAAATACACATCTAGTCGCTCTTATTCCTAATTTAGGAATTTTAGGATCAGTCATCCTAACATAAGCTAAACAGCTCCATACTCTAATGTAATTTAAGTTAGGCTTTCTTTTTCTCCACAATTCATAAGGAGTAACTAGATTTTGTTTTCGAGGAACTCTATTCATAATATAATTTCCAGTTAAGACTGACTCTCCCCACAAATTTTTAGGTGCACTAGAACTAGCTAACATAACATTGTTTAAATTGATCAAAGTTTTATTTTTACATTCAGCTACACCATTAGATTGAGGAGAGTATGGTGGTGTAGTTTTATGAACTATTCCTAAAGACTATATATGTTCAATTAATCCAAGTGAGTCATACTCTCTACCTCTATCACTTCTAAATCGTTTAATTTTTTTATAAAAATGATTTACTACTTCTTTAATAAAAATGGTGAGTTTTTCAAAAGCGTCACTTTTATTTATCATAAGATAAACATAAGTGTATTTTGAAAAGTCATCAATGAAAGTTATAAAATATCTTTTTCCACCACGAGTCAAAATTCCTTCAAATTCACATATGTCCGTATGTATCAATTATAATAATTTAGAATTTCTTTCTACTTTGATATGAGGCTGTTTTTTTATTTTTGTCATACTATAATATTCACATTTTTCAAAATTATTGTGTAACTTAGGCAATAAACCTATATGGCTCATATTTTTCAAATATTTGCTATTAACATGACAAAGACGAGCATGCCACATATTCACACAAGAAACAATGTAAACAGAAGAAGTAGTTTTATTCATTTCAACATTCAGCTTAAACATACCATCACAAGTATAACCTTTCCCAACAAACGACCCATTCTTGGTCAAAACATACTGATCAGATTCTATCGTTTGTTTGAAACCAGCCTTATTTAAAAGATAACCAGAAACTAAATTCTTTTTAATTTCAAGAGTGTGAAGAACATCTCTTAGGGTCAAAACTCGGCCAGAGTTACATTTGAGTTCGACATCTCCCATGCCCAAAACACTCACAGTATGTGAATCACCAAGCAACACTTTTTTATCATTTTCAACTGAAGAAAAAGACTTGAACCAAGATTTATCATGACAGACATGCCTGGAAACTCCAGAATCTGCCCACCACCCTTCACTATTCTCAATAAAATTAACTTTAGAAATCATGGCCACAAGTGGTTCCTTGGTCACATTAGCTTGAGGAGCATAGCCCCGTTTTCTAAAACGGCAATCTTTTGCAAAATGGCCAGACTTTCCACAAACAAAACAAGCACCATTATTTAACTTATTTTTATTATATGGTACTTGTTTGGAAGGGGGTCCTTGGTTTGGTGTTTGGTTCCATTTCTTTTGAAAATGGTTTTTATTTGAAGCCCTATTAAACTTTTTCATGTTATTACCTCTAGGCTTCAAATAAGCACTGTTTCTATTATTTTGACCCTTAGAGATGTTATCATTTGATGTGATAAAATGTACCTTCTTGTTGTTTCCATTACCATTGCCATTGGAATTCCCATTAGTGTCGTTGGTATTGTCTTGTT